ACTCCACACAATCTTCAAAAAGATTTGAGTTGAAGAGCATGTACCGGCAGACTGGAAAGAAGGACAGCCCATCAAAAAACTAAAGAAAAGAGATCTCAGCGAGTGTGAGAACTGCACAGGCATCACTTTTCTCTCAATACCAGGACAAGTTTTCAACAGTGATGTTAAACCGAATGAAGGATTCAATAGATATCCAACTTCGAGATAGGCTGGATTCCATAATGGTCGATCGTTTACCGACCACATCGCGAGCGACAATACGGGTCATTGTGGAACAATCGATTGAGTGGAACTCACCACTCTAAATCAATTTCCCTGACTACGAGAAAGCATTTGATAGCACGGACCAGACAACACTGTGGAGGTTTCTTTGACACTACAGAGTGCCTGAGAAGATAGTCAACATCATACGGAATTCTTATGATGGATTAAACTGTAAACTCGTGCTTAGAGGACGGCTGACAACCTATCTATATGTAAGCGTTAACTTTCGGGACCAATACAAAATATTATATCTTACTACAATTCTGCCATTAAGCAAAGACTTTCAGCTGATAATCAATATAGTTAGTTGGGTAGTATGACCAGATTATTTTTGTAGTTTATCAATTGCTTGGGTAGTCATGCTTCCGAAAAATGTTCCGTTAGGTCAAGTGACGTCAAAAATAATGCAGCTAAGTAAGACAGTGGGATTTGCTGACATTTAACAGTTGCGTATAAATATCCTGCGACCTTATACAACGCAGGTTAAAATGTGCTTTCTATTAGGATAGTAAACGATATTGTTTGAACCGTATTGTGGTTTCTGGTAGTGGCACAAGATGCGATCTTAAACACCATTTTGAACAAATGGATGTGAAAAGATGGATAGCAGCACTTGTCAACCTCTTCATGATAACGTGTAAGGTCTAAGTGTTAGTAAAGAAAATTCCGGACTCCATTCAAGTATTAAACCTGCGTTCTGTTTAGTTCTCTCGCATAGTAGGTTGTTGCTGACCATATCTAACCGACGAATCCAAGGTACTTTGAGTAGACAAAGGTTAATAAATACTTGTTACTCTTGGATGATGACTTTCGTCCTTCTCCAAGTTTACACAATAAATGCTATAGAACTGTCTTGACATTTGAATTGAAAATCCCAACTTTGTTGTTTGTTGACAGCTGTTTTCAACTCCAAATGGCGTGCCAGAGAAATCTGGTGGGCGGCCTTCGCTCCATTGGGGGTAACAGGCTTAAGTTAGTAAGTAAGTCTTTTCCGTTGGCCTGGTGAATCCGAAGTGAGGGTTTGTCCTGACTCAGTTGGGTGCTTTCCTCAATTTGTGTCCCATCCACTTCCGTCGCTTGTTCCGTATTTCTTCCTCTGCTGGAATCGAATTATTTTATCCCTCAGCAGTTTAATGCTGGTGATATGTGGCCAGAGGATCCTCAGTCTTTCGCCTAGACATCTGTTAATAAACACCTGTATATATCAAACAGAAGAGTCAGTCATATCATAACACAAATATATATACATCGAGGGATTTTCCAAAAACAAAACCTTCAAAATAGATTCTGCACCGGTCTTCAGCTCAAACGAGTTTGTCAGTTGACCTCTGTACACGATTTTGCAGTTTAATCCATCATAAGAATTCCGTATGATGTTGACTATCTTCTCAGGCACTCTGTAGTGTCAAAGAAACCTCCACAGTGTTGTCCGGTCCGTGCTATCAAATGCTTTCTCGTTGTCAGGGAAATTGATTTAGAGTGGTGAGTTCCACTCAATCGATTGTACCAAAATGACCCGTATTGTCGCTCGCGATGTGGTAGGTGCCGCACTACGAACAGTTGTTTCAATGATTATACCAACATGGTGAATGAGTGAATAAAAAACAGCAGAAGGAATACTTTCTACTCCTACCGAGTCTACGAAGTGGTTATTTAAACCGAGTAAAGACACAAGGTGTTTGGTAACGTAGAAATTGAAAATTTACTATCGACAGTATAAAAATGTGTTGTTCTAAATATCGAAATTAACATTACCTGTAACTTAAACACCAAGTCATTGATCTTTTTTTGAAACGATACACTTGGTTGGTAGTCGCAAACGACGATTCCAGCTTCCCGACAATGATCAATAATACTCTCGATGTTCTCTTCTAAAATTTCAAAACGATTTCGATCGACCATAAGTGAACTGATGGATTCGTATATAGCGAAACCAATTGACGCTCCCTATAGTAGACTGGCAAGTAACACAATCGCAGATTATTATACTGTATTTATGAGAAGTGCACGAAGGTGTATTCTCTAGTTGAAAGCTATGGGCTTCATAGACACGAGTTACAAGATGATAAATTTGATATAAAATGCCAGCAAACAGCTAGCGCGAACCGATCGCTTTTTTGTGTCCCGATGCTGAAAGAGAGGTCTACAGCCTTCCGACAAACCAATCAGATGACCATACGCAACGAAATCAAAACGCACAAAGCGTGAATAGGTACCTGTAAATCACAAAACTGAAGCACCCGCCTCAAATCAATATCCAAGACCTTAATTTACGATACTATTATTTACAGGCTAATATAAAACAACAGTTTTCTTTGCCCTAACCAACGACTGAAAAGATCAGTATGTCCATCAGACAAATCAACAGCGACAAAGCAACAGGACCAGACAACATTCTAGCAGAGGCAGAAGTGTCAGCAACTGCAAAAATAATCCACTTTCTCTTCAGCAAGATTTGGGATGAAGAACAAGAATCAACAGACTGTAAAGAATGATACATTATCAAATACCAAAGGCATTCAGGAGGTATCACTATCCTCTCCACAACAACCAGTTTTCTACAAGTTATTGTCAAATAAAATGAAGGTCTTCGTAGACGACTGAATTCCAGATCAACAGGCTGGATTTCGTAAGGATCGATTGTATACCGACCACATCGCGAGCGACAATACGGGTCATTGTGGAACAATCGATTGAGTGGAACTCACCACTCTAAATCAATTTCCCTGACAACGAGAAAGCATTTGATAGCACGGACCGGACAACACTGTGGAGGTTTCTTTGACACTACAGAGTGCCTGAGAAGATAGTCAACATCATACGGAATTCTTATGATGGATTAAACTGTAAACTCGTGCTTAGAGGACGGCTGACAACCTATCTATATGTAACTATAATGGATTTTCTATTGTAGCAGTTCAAATGGTTTCCAGTAAGTGCAACCCGAACGCGTATCTCCTAGTCCAATGTCCAAATAACACAACAATTCTAGGAGAAAACGGTCTATATTATATTAAAAGGTGGAAATACAAAGCAATACCTGAAGTTGATGCACTTTCCAAGACACAATCACTCCGAGGAGTATCCAAGGCGAAGGGGAATAAGTGACGTTAAGTCCAACCGCCACCGTATCAATCCAAATATGGCTGTGGCCATATTAAAGATCAAATTTAAACAACATATATACAGTTCAGAAGCAAACATAAAAACTTCAATATAAGTACAAATTATAAAAATAATAACAATATACAATGATAAATTCTCAAATTGGAATCAAATAAAATACCAAAAATATCAACAGAAAGAGTCCAAAAGTCATAACAAAAATATGTAAACATGGAGGGATTTTATGAAAAAAAAAACATTCAAATAGGATTCTACAGAAGCAAACAAGCAGAGCACTGAAGTTGATGGACGCAATGATGGTGGAAAAGGTTCAAACAGAAGGAAACATGAGACAATTATATGCACAAAAGAGAAGCTCGCTGGAATGAACAGTAGGAAAGAGTGATCAATCAACAGCAAGGAAGGTAAAACAACCTCCGACATTCAAGAACAGAGCAACAAGTGGGTAGAGCTCTTGAATCGACCGGCTCCACTGAATCGAACCAACATCGAAGCAGCCACACACGGACCTCTCAATCAATGTTGACCCACCAACAATTGGAGAGATCAGGATGGTCATCAGACAAATCAAGAGTGGCAAGGCATATGCAGCAGTAAATTCAAAGATACTCCACACACTCTTCAAAAAGATTTGAGTGGAAGAGCATGTACCGGCAGACTGGAAAGAAGGACAGCCCATCAAAAAACTAAAGAAAAGAGATCTCAGCGATTGTGAGAACTGCACAGGCATCACTTTTCTCTCAATACCAGGACAAGTTTTCAACAGTGATGTTAAACCGAATGAAGGATTCAATAGATATCCAACTTCGAGATAGGCTGGATTCCATAATGGTCGATCGCTAACCGACCCCATCGTGGTCGGTATACAATCGATCCTTACGAAATCCAGCCTGTTGATCTGGAATTCAGTCGTCTACGAAGACCTTCATTTTATTTGACAATACCTTGTAGAAAACTGGTTGTTGTGGAGAGGATAGTGATACCTCCTGAATGCCTTTGGTATTTTGATAATGTATCATTCTTTACAGTCTGTTGATTCTTGTTCTTCATCCCAAATCTTGCTGAAGAGAAAGTGGATTATTTTTGCAGTTGCTGACACTTCTGCCTCTGCTAGAATGTTGTCTGGTCCTGTTGCTTTGTCGCTGTTGATTTGTCTGATGGACATACTGATCTTTTCAGTCGTTGGTTAGGGCAAAGAAAACTGTTGTTTTATATTAGCCTGTAAATAATAGTAATCGTAAATTTAAGGTCTTGGATATTGATTTGAGGCGGGTGCTTCAGTTTTGTGATTTACAGGTACCTATTCACGCTTTGTGCGTTTTGATTTCGTTGCGTATGGTCATCTGATTGGTTTGTCGGAAGGCTGTAGACCTCTCTTTCAGCATCGGGACACAAAAAAGCGATCGGTTCGCGCTAGCTGTTTGCTGGCATTTTATATCAAATTTATCATCTTGTAACTCGTGTCTATGAAGCCCATAGCTTTCAACTAGAGAATACACCTTCGTGCACTTCTCATAAATACAGTATAATAATCTGCGATTGTGTTACTTGCCAGTCTACTATAGGGAGCGTCAATTGGTTTCGCTATATACGAATCCATCAGTTCACTTATGGTCGATCGAAATCGTTTTGAAATTTTAGAAGAGAACATCGAGAGTATTATTGATCATTGTCGGGAAGCTGGAATCGTCGTTTGCGACTACCAACCAAGTGTATCGTTTCAAAAAAAGATCAATGACTTGGTGTTTAAGTTACAGGTAATGTTAATTTCGATATTTAGAACAACACATTTTTATACTGTCGATAGTAAATTTTCAATTTCTACGTTACCAAACACCTTGTGTCTTTACTCGGTTTAAATAACCACTTCGTAGACTCGGTAGGAGTAGAAAGTATTCCTTCTGCTGTTTTTTATTCACTCATTCACCATGTTGGTATAATCATTGAAACAACTGTTCGTAGTGCGGCACCTAAATACATTTGCGCCTAACAAATCGATTCACAAGGGGCTTTTCTCTGGACATTTTACCTACGTCTCTCACAAGTCAGTAGAGCAACGTCGAGATATACAGTCCCGTGTTAGCCAGTGGCCGAAAATGGGTTCGAACTACATATATCCGCCTAGGATTCTTCAGCTTGTGTGCTCCATGTGGTTAACCTAATTAGGAAGATTTTCTTACTATCATGATTTCTTATGCATCACTTATTTTAAATTCTGAACTTCTTTCGCAGTTGTCCCATGTCAGCGATTTTCAATACTTAACTAAAGAGAAGTACAACCGATGTTCAGGTTCAGAAATGTAATGGTAATTTTCATTGATCATAAGTAAATTCTGAGAGTCAGTCAGCTACAACGTACAACTTCGTACGTAAGCAGGTTAGTTCAGGTTGCCATACGACGTTAGTAAAGAGCCGCAACTGTCATTTCAGATCCCTTAGTGGTAAAGATGGTAGAAGTATTCGCAGAAAGGGACAAGATTAGGGTTTAGAAAATATACTTACAAAAGTACAATTCTTTGAGATAAGTTTAAAACGCGGAAGATAGAGGTGATGAATTCACAAGATTAATATTTCAAAGGACACAACGAATGGATGCACCTGCACCACAGAAAACGATTTTGAGCAATGTCGTCCAAGTCTCTAACCATCATTGACTCGTCTCGCGGACCCCAACCAGGTAGCCTACATCTACCAACATGACTCAGTCCACTTGTTAGTGACTTCATGGATTTCTGCCATGTTTCGATCTTGCCGCCCCTAACTTTCTCCCAACCTATTCCTACACCACAAAACAGCTCGTCGAGGCAGTCGGTGGTTAGGCATACGTAACAGATGTCTCAACCACCTCAACTGATGAAGTTTCACTACTTCATCTAATAATTCGCCATCCCTACGTAGTACTCGTTTCCTAACGACAGCATTTCTTAATCGGTGGTTTCACGATGCATAGGCAATGATTCAAAGACATCTGTGATTGAATATCAGTAACCCACGAATATCTACTCTGACTGGCCATGTTTCGCATCCGTATAGGAGAACGGAGCGAACTACTGCTCAGTAGACGACCTTAGGTTAGCAAACGGATATAACACCTACACCATAAATGACAAGTTGGCAAAAGCCATTTGAGCATTCTGTATCCGCGCTGAGATTTTGTCAGTCGCCAGGCAATCAGCACTGATGAGACTTCCAAGATAAATGAAGTGGTTAACACACTCGACTACTTCACTCCCTACCACTAGTTCAGGTGCCGATGCAGCCCAGTCTTGAAGCAACGTTTTGCCTTTCGAAGAGGAAAACCGCATCCCGAACGTACTTGCATTGTTGCTTAGTATGGTCAGAAGACTGCATTTTGTCAGCGTCTTCACCAAGTAGGACAATGTCATCGGCATATTCTAGGTCAGTAAGCGATTTTCCTGGTAGAAGGTTAACCCCTGAAAAATCTAACGAGCTTAATGTAAACTCTAAGTGGATGTCTACGACAAAGTTAAACAAGAATGTGGAGAGTGGACAGTCATGATAGACACCACTTGATGTACAGAGTTCAGATCACAGCTCGCCATATCTCTAACTCGACCAGTGATGTTCGAGTAGAGAGCTTGTATAAGGTTAATGTGCTTCCTTGGTACACCTTTCAATGAAAGACACTGCCATAGAACCTCACGATCCACTGTGTATAATGCCGTTTTTAGAGGTCCAGGAACACAACTATTGTCGGACGTCTAAATGTGTGTCTGTTTTCCAGGACTTGTCGTAGTGTGATGATGTGGTCTATACAGCCACGTCCAGGTCTGAAACCAGCCTGGTTTTCTTTAGTCTGCAAAAGAAAGATTGTCCTGGTTGTCAAAAGAGGTATTGGCCTCGTGACTTCCGAAGGAGCTCTCCCTTCATCTTGAGACGTCATAGCTCCTCTGAATAAAGACCTAACTCAGTGAAGATTTTGAATTATTTTTTTCTATTTAGCGTTTTGTTAGCAATTTAGTTTATTATTATTATTACGCTCAACGCTTCTTTTTGCGGTCTTGGAACTAGCTGTAGCCACAGAGGTTCTCCAGATTGACCTATTGGCTGTAACATACTAATTTATCCTACAGCAATACTAGAAATTATTGGTTGCGTTACACACTACATCAGAGGCTAAGCATTTTCAAAACCGTTAATTCGTAGTTTAGAACGGGGTTTCAAGAGACCAGGAACGACGTTTCGTGATCTCGCTTCGTCTGCATTAGCGGTGCAGTGAGAAAAGGGAGTGTGAGTAGAGTTAGTCGTAGAGATAAGAGAGATATTAGGGGGTGTAGAAAGGATTTGATTTTGACCAATTTGGTCTCGCGTGCTGGTACGGGTATGAGGGCGGTTGTCACTTCCTGGCTTCCCACACTGTGGAAGGTTGTTTCTTGAGGGACCTGAAAAGGAAGATGGATTAGTGTTGGTGCGTGACCGCAAAGCCCAAGGGACAACTGCTTGAGGCCGGTCACGCACGGCCTTTTTATGAGAGGTATTTAGAGGATTAGCTCCGTTCTTAAAGGCCCTTAGTGGGCACCCTTACCCAAGGAGACGGAAATCCGTGAGGTAGGGGAGGTGTGACATTTTTAGGGCCGACCTTTTCTAACCCTTCCTTCCTTGTGAGAAGGCAGCATCGCTGCAGATGCTGGTTGTCCGAGGGAAACACCTTACTGCTGTCACACCCCTCTGCAGTCAGCAGTACGACTTCGCCCCCAGACCTTGGGTAGCTGCTTTTAGTCTCATCGTTCTCCAATCGACCTGCCTGGCATGGTAGGACCTGCAGGAACATATGTTCCAGCCAGTATAGCTCGGTTTGGTCATCACGATAGGCAGGCCCGACCACCACGTCAAGGTAGCAGCTACGGTTCGCGAGATGATAATAATCGATGCTTAGAGACCTTGAATGACATGGCTCAAAATCGTTCGCAATGGCGCCGGTGCATTTATTCTTTGTGTTCTCTCAAACCCTAGTCTTCTGGATTCTTCAACACCTCTAGTTTCGACTCTCTAAACTTTTCTCACTGAATCATACTTCTTGAATAGTATCTTCTAACCCTAACCTCTCCGATTACTTCTAATTCCCTTACTACCTCTACTACTATTGGATTTGAATTGACAATTATATCTCTGTGCTGATGTGGTATGGCAACATGAACTGATGTACTTACGTACCAAGTTCTACGTTGCATCTGACTGACTGACTGACTAATTCGTAGTTTATATTGCGTAATGATTTTAACCAAAGTATATAAAACGTTTTTCTTATTGGCATGAGACAAAAATTGATGCCTAGGATCTTCATAGGGACGGAGTCTTCTTAGCCATCAGAATGAAATACTTTCTTTATAATAATCAACAGTCACTTGTTTATATCCTTGTAAAATTCTTCATAATCGAACATAACAGGAATTAAATAAAGCTATTGAGCAATCTCTGTCATTTTAAAAACTTGTTGTAAATTGATTTCTACCTAATATACACATTCTGCCTACTGTTTAAAGGATGTGGATCGTATGCAAGTTGAGATGCAAGATGTACATGTTCCTATTGAATTATTTTCTAAAATCGATGCTGGTCAAAACCCTCAATTGTACACTCGTGAGTGTATGGAGCAAGCACTAGCTAAGAACGAAGCAGTTCGTGGTAAATTAGACAGTCTTCGTCGTTTTCGAGTGTTGCTCATGTCCGAATTATCTCGTCAATTTCCTAACGAAATGGCTAAATATCGAGCTGTTCGTGGTGATCCTGAAGCACCGACAGTTGGTCCTGCAATATCCAGTAACTCTCAATCAAACGGATCTGGCACTGAAACGGGTCCAGAATCCGTTTCAATCAGATAAGTTAGATTCATTATGTTTCGTCGGTCTCAACGAACATATCCTCAAAAAATTGCTTTCTTAACTTCTTTTTTATGTAGTATTACATCACGCTGTTCCAGTGGTGTTTTCCTTGAAATTCTTTTTATAATAAGAAGTTATTTATTAACCTAAAGTTGTATTTACATTCGACATATTTGCTTATAACATTGGGAAATACTAGATGTTGGCCGGAGACTCAAAACAGTTATGTTCGATAGTTCTAATCAGCAGTTGAACAAATTTTTATCGTCACTCTACTATGTCTTTTTTCATTCTTATCCATCATGGATAGCAATTATTAAATTTTATAAGTGAGTTAGTACATGAATTATCAATGTGTTTTTGGGGCACCTGAGTTAACCTTAACGGTAGGCTGTTTGATGAAGAAAAAAATAAATAACCAATAGTCTGTTTGCAACTTTTTCAACAGAGCTAACGAACTAAATTCTACTTCCAAAAATCACACTAACCGTAGACTGATGAATAAACTGAAATCTTGTCCATTGTGATATATCAGTAAAAATTGTTGTTAGATTTTTCCATGTTAGTTCGCTATTTTGACATTACAACTCGCATTATACCCCTGTGTTATAAAAAGTGATCAACCGACATGCTTTTTGCGGTTGGGCAACTAAATGAATGAAAACCATTTTTAGCATACAAGCCATTATCACAAAGTAGAACTTCGTACATGAGCACATAACTTCAGGTTGCCATACCCCATCTTCAGACGCAACTGTCAGTCTAAATCCCACTCCACAAAGTAGAGCTTGTCAGGGTAGTCGGTGGTTAGGCATTCTTAACACTTGTCCCGACCACCTCAACTGATGGAATTTCACTACTTCAGGATAACTGTAGATCTTAGTAAACCGAGATGTGTCTAGAGGCCAATTGAACTGATCCGTGAAGTGCCCTGACCGTCAGTCAAAACTCCTGGGTTTAGAATGAATAATAAGACCATACTTTTCTGGGATAGTTTCGATGACAGATGGATTTCGTTGATCATGTCTGCTGTTGCCTATCGCCGCTGCCTCTTGCATCGCTCTTGCTTTGACTACCCACCGCTGTTCCCGATCATTTTGTAGTCCTATTATCAGCCTGCGCATTATGTTCAGAGCCAGGCGGTATGAGTTTTCGAGCGTCTATCAGTTTGATGGATGCTAATGAGATCCACGGCTTCTTCCTAGCCACATGGCATACCTAACTAGCAGATATCACTACTGTTTCCACAGCCTTTTTGATGTCATTCCAAGCTGCTTCCGGATGGAAATCACATACATGGCTGCCTAACAGTCTTTCTAGGTGCTCTTAAAATATATTCTTAGCTTTTTTTCACTAAGTAGAACCCTGAGAGGTTTCCTTGCGGTGTCTTTCCTACGTTTGTTAAGTCGCAAACAGATATGCGCTCGATCTAGAGCATGATCTGAATCTAGACATGTGCCCCAGAACAAGCGACAGTCCTTTATCGAATCCATCCATACATCGCCAAGTTACGTCACCGAGAAATTCTGGTTCAATAAAGAGGAAGGCCAAGGAATAATTACGCCGAGTAATAGAGAAAGATATGAGAGGAATGAACAAACATTGGACAGAACTGGAGAGGGAAGCTCAGGACAGAGTTGGGTGGAGAAAACTGGTGGGCGGCCTATGCTCCATTGGGGGTAACAGGCGTAAGTAAGTAATGACCATACACACTTTACGACTTAATACAAAATCTAATTCACGTTCAAAGTCTTCAGGAGAGTGGCTATGATTGTATATTGCACGAATGATGGCATATGTTTTCTTTCTGTTGACAACAGCCTTTAACAGAATCAAAACGCTTTAGTCATTGAAGGGTTATGATGGTACTGAACTATATGTGAAAAACTTAGTCAATGAATATTTCAGTACACAAAAATAGGACAGAGCAGGGTCAAGCTAAATATATACATCCGCTACTTTTCAGTAAATAGGTATACTAAGCAGCCTAGTTCTTACGACACAAGTAGTTTATCTCCATTTGACCATGTGTAGGCAAAATAGAACTTAGATCGAATTCCTCAAAAACACTGATATAAACTGAGTTTTAGGAAGTCAGTCAGCACCAACGTAATCATGATACGTCCACGCATCAGTTCAAGTTGCCACTCCACAATAGCACACAGAGATGGGATATTCAATTCAAATCCCATAGTCCTTTCGTTGAAAGATGGATATCTCGCTTACACCATGTGATACAAGTTGATAAAGGCTAGTCGGGCCTTCTGTATCCATTTCAAGATTTTGTCACACACCGTGCTATCAGCATTAATGAGACTCGCAAGATAAGTGACTCCATCGACACGATCAACTACTTCACTCTTTATCACTAGTTTAAATGTCGGTGCAAGCCAATGCTGAAGCAACATTTTGCATTTTGAAAGGGAGAATCGCATCACACCGTCTCCAAAAGCATATCAATGACGAAATTGAAAAAGAATGGAAAATCTGAACAACCCTGACGAACATCGCCTGAATTATTCAGTCACGTCGACAGTTCGCCAGACTCTCCCCGACAAATTGTATTGTAGTAGAGAGCCTGCATAAGGCCAATGTACCTCTTCGGTACACCTTTCAAAGAAACAGGCTGCCACAGAACCTCACGATCGACAGAGTCGAATGATGCCGTTCAAAGGGTCCCAGCTAAGAGAGCCAGTTGTTCTGCTTGGTACGAGGTTCAGACATTGTAAGTTCTAGCATGTTGTTTGAATCGTGGTCTCAGAATACCAGCAATAACGTTTCATGAACCAGAAACGTTTTCTTGAGGAACCTGAAAAGGAAGGTAGAATAGCGTTGATCTTAACGACCTAGGAGCGTGGTTCATTCTCTATCCATGAGATTGAATCGATAGGCAGAACACTTTAGGGATCAGTTAAACTGGTCTTCAGCCACACTTTGGTTACCCACGATCTCCAGTCAACCTGAATGGCAGATTGATGTATGTCCTTCAACTCTTAGTGAAGTTAGAAAGGCTATAGGCAGTCTAAGACGAGACAGATCAGAGGGACCTGGTGGACTAACCTCTGAGATTTTTAAGGATGTTTGTCCAGCTTTAGAAGTTTAACTGGAATCTGGACGTGATCCCAACTGACTGTTCTTAGTCACTGATTGTTCCAGTCTATAAGAAAGGACAAAAGTCCTCTTGTGACAATCATAGAGCAATCAGTTTCATCAATATAGCGTCTAAGTTATTAGCTTCAATCATACTTCGACACCGACTAGGTCTCGTGAAGAGCAGACTCGAGAAAATCAGAGTGGGTTCAGTCCTGGACGCGGTTGTATAGACCAGATATTCACACTATATCAGGCTGTAGAACACAGACAGACGTCCCACAATAGTAGCATTCCTTGACCTTAAGGCGGTATTTGAACCCGTCGACTGTGAGGTTCTGTGGCAGTCTCTGTCATTGAAAGGTGTACCTAACAAGCGCATTGACCTTGTACATACTTTCTACTCGAACACTACTGGTCGGGTGAAAGCTCATAGCTAAATGTCACGCAAATTGACTACCTCGGATAGTATTCGTTAGGGTTTTCAACCTTCTTCATTCTTATCCAGCTTTGTCATTGGCAAGTATTTAGAGACGGCACTTTTATCGTTTGACTTCTCAGGGGTTGAACTTTTACCCGGAGATTTAATTGTGAAGACGATGACGTGTGCTGTTAGTAGTATGAGGGCTGTTGTCACGTATCGGTCTTCCACGCAGTGGAAACTGTTTCCTATTGCCAGATTCCAGACCGAGTAATCAAGTTTATTGATAAGAATTTCAACACGGTCGCGAAACAATAGACTATATCCAATAATTAAACGGGATCTACACGATTTCCGGACAATGGTGACAAGGAATTTGATTGCTGCATTCCAAATCTCTGCCTATAACTATAGAGCGACTAGACATCACAATCTTTTCTTCAAGACAAGAGATTAGTTCGGAACATGGCAAGTTCTTTAACCACTTGTCAAACGACCGGGGTTATCAGACACTATAGCGCAATAGTAGGGACCTATAGCAGTAAACTCAAAAAAGTCTGGAGTTGTAGTTATTAACGACAACACTCTTACAATTTGCGGTGTGTTTATTTTTCTAATAAAATGGAGCGAAATTTTTGATTTACACTATAGAAATAATAAGAAACCGGTCCTACTAGAAATATTCTATAACCATGATAAAGTGATCAAATTAATTCATACTAACATGAATATAAGGGCAGAAATATTATATGAACTGTAAAAATGCTTGCAGAAATACTAATCCGACTCCATAGTTACTACAAATGTTATGAAACTGCAGGATATTTAAATGTGAATTTCTGTAAAAAGAAAATTGGTAAACAAGGTATGTAAAAAGAAGAAATTGTTTGCTAACTTTCGGGTGAAGGAAGTTAATTCGTTTGTTACATATAAGGAAACAGATATAAACATTAACGGATAAAGATACGAAAAAAATAATAATTGTTACTAATTATACTCTAATGTCTAGACCATTTAAAAATAATATAACAAGCGACTAAAATAGACGTTAGAGAAACTGTATTATGCAGTATTTTACGTCTTCCATCATCTCGATGAACTAAAACGACTGGACGCAATGGTGGACTACTTGAATTAGAACGATTCTCTGCTATGATAACTCTGACACGCTTTTCATTGCTTGTTTGACTCAGTTCCGAGGAAGCACTGGGACTGTCATCGTTACTCATTCCACTGCCTGGTGAATTATCATCTGGATGTGAATTCATCGAAGCATGGCTATTACTTGTTACACAGGAAGCCATTCCAACTGGCAGAGATGCAAGCGATGATGCAACTTGATATTTACAGCAAGGATCCCACTGCCAAAGTAAAGCATACAATCCTGCAGCAGAAGCACTAATGGCACTCAATGTGGTTGTAGTAAATCGAATAAAACTAGGTGTAATTGCAATCAAGGCACCACTTGTTCGAACAGTAGGAAGCGAACAAACATCAAGGTTTAACGGAAAGTAGATTCTAGGAAAGGCACAGTTCCACATTAAACCAATGCCAGCCGTAGTGACAGCAGCTATTCCTGTGAAAATAATAATTAAATTTAAAACCGAAATATACAATTATAGGTTATCGGTACTTTATGTCTCAACGAAAGCTTATACAAAATTAAATTAAATATTTATAAAACAAACCAGTTAGAATCAGTTTTGCTTTCAGTTTACATGTGTCAAATCAACTCCACCTAGGGCTACTGCTAGGGGGGGTTGGCAACCCCACTCCGTAGATAATATAATTCAAACCATTTAAACTTAGTCCTGGGATTTAAAGGGTCTTTATTTAGAAGAGTTATGAAAGACTAGTTTCTTCGGAAGTAACGGAGTCGATTTCCCCCTCAAAACCAGAGAAACCGTTAGTTTGGATACATGAAATGTTCGTACATTTTGGGAGACTAGGAGAGTCAGGCACGTTGCTGCGGAAATGCTAAAAACACCCTAGTGATACTTGAAATCAGTTGGACAGCAAAGATGAGATGCTGTTCGGTTCGGTAGATTCTAGTGAAATCCACTGCTTCATGTAACCTTATTGTTTGCCTTACTGACAGATAACACTTCGATCTCCACAGTTTTTGGCTATCATTCCAAGGTGTCTCAGGGTGTGCATCATTTACTACATGGATGTCTAACTGTTTTTCTAGTTGCTCATGAAATACATTCTTAGCTTTGCTATCAATAAGTAAAACGTTGAGAGGTGTCTCTGCAGTGTCTTTGCTACGTCCAGTAAGACTCAAGCAAATACGCAGCGGAGGTCGCCATTATCTGTTATTTGAGCTGCGATACCCCATGATCCACTTAGGGAGTTGCACTTAATCTGCCTATTTGATCAACAAAATCAACAATTATTACTACGTCAAACCTCTTAGCTTCTTGAAGAAGGTTGAAAATCTCTCCGTAGAGTTCGTCTTTTACCTCATCTCAACTGTGATCAGTGGGCGCGGTGGCACAGACAACCATGACGGAACGGCGTATTCCGACCTTTCCGAGTCCATACTGTTCCGTTTTGTTCGACAACTCGAAGAGACCGAATTCAAAAGGATTTTTTCTGCATGCTTTCTTTTACCTTCGAAGTCGTTTTAGCCGTGAGGATGTAAATCTATTAAACTTTAGAAGGATAAGTACATTGAAGCAGATAACAACCGATAATTGCTTTCAGGCATTTCATGATCTACTCAATGGACAGGAAACTACCATTGAGAATAGATGAAAGGGATCAAGGAAGCAAGCATTTCGGAAGTTATGAAGTCGATGCCACTTCTCACAACCAGAATAATCATTATTTCAGGTAAATGGGCCGTTCGTAGAATATAGGAAATCGGGAGAACCATTCAAGTTGCAGTGGGATCAGGAAAGTACAACCTGATGGTACTCGGAATAAGGGAAACTCATTGAACAGAGGCTGGATGAAAAAAGATCAGCTTCAAGAGAGATGCTAGTGTACTCCTACTAAAAAGATGCCTCACACACAAGGAATCTAATCGATTCTGTCCAAATAAGCACAAGAAGCACTTACAGGATGGAAAACTCATTGACCCAGGGTCATCAATGAGTCCTCTAACATAAGAAAGGAGGAAATTACAATGAATGACATCCAGTACCAGCTCAGAAGGGTCGTCTAGGAAGTAAGAACGAGGAGTAGAGCTGGGATATCTTCAAATCTTCACTTAGCATTAGCCAAGATGTAACTGAAACTAAAGAAGCATTGGACGAAATAACAAAGAAGCTCGCCGGAAATTATCGTAAACCAGAACGACCAATTTAAAGCAAAGTAGGTAAAGTAATCAACAACACTGAAGAACAGCGAAACACGTGGGTAGAGCACCTTAAGGAACCCTTGAGTCGTCCAGCTCCACTGAACACACCCAAGATCGAAGCAGCATCCAAGGACCTCCCAATTAATTTTGGTGCACCTACAGTTGAGCAGATCAGCATGGCCATCAGACAAATCAAGAATGGCAAATCAGCAGAATCAGACAACATTCCAGCAGAGACAATGTAATCAGATATGGAAGCAACTGCAAAAATGTTTCACATCCTCTTCAAGAAGATTAGGGATGAGGAACAAGTACCATCAGATTGGAAAGAAGGATACCTGATCAAAATACCAAAGAAAGGCGATCTCAGCAAGAGGCATCACTCTTCTCTCACTACCAGGCAAAGTCTTCAACAGGGTATTGTTAAACAGAATGAAGGACTTCGTAGACGCCCAACATCGAGATCAACATGTATTGATCATGTACTGACCAAAATGCAACGTTACGGATCATTGTGGAGCAGGCAGTTGAATGGAACGCACCACTCTACATCAACTTCATCGACTACGAGAAAGCATTCGATAGTGTGGACAGGAAAACACTGTGGAGGCTTTTTCGACACTACTGTGTGCCTGAGCAAATAGTTAACATCATACGGAATTCTTATGATGGATTCAACTTCAAAATCGGAGGACACGGAGGATAGCTGACATACTCATTCGAGGTGACGACCGGTGTCAGGCAAGGTTGCTTACTCTCACCTTTCTCTTTCTCCTAGTGATCGACTGGATCATGAAGACGTCGACATATGGAGGGAAGCAAAGTATCCAATGGACAGCTAGGATGCAGATGGACGATCTTGACTTCGCAGATGATCTGGCTCTTCTATCGCAGACGCAACGACAAATGCAAGAGAAGACGACCAGTGTAGCAGCAGTCTCTGCAGCAGTAGGTCTCAACATACATAAAGGAAAAAGCGAAATTCTCCGATACAACACAACATGCACCATTCAAATCACTGTTGATGGATATGCCCTGGAGGACGTTAACACCTTTACATATCTTGGCAGCATCATTGACGATCAGGATGGATCCGATGCAGATGTGAGTGCACGGATCAGCAAAGCAAGGAGTGCATTTCTGCAGCTGAAAAATATCTGGAACTCCAAACAACTTTCAACCAAAACCAAAATCAGGATTTTCAATAAAAATGTGAAGACAGTTCTACTGTATCGAGCGGAAACTTGGAGAACTACCAAAGCCATCATCCAGAAGATACGAGTGTTAATTAACAGTTGTCTACGCAAAATACTTCGTATTCGTTGTCCAGAAACGATCAGCAACAACGAACTGTGGGAGAGAATAAACCAGGTTCCAGTGAGGGATGAAATGAGGAAGAAGCGGTGCGAAAAGCACCTAACTGCGTCACGAGACAAGCCCTCATTTGGAACCCTCAAGGCAAAAGGAAAAGAGGAAGGCCAAGGAACACATAACGTCTACAAATAGAGAAAGATATGAGAAGAATGAACAAACACTGGACAAAACTGGAAAGGGACGCCCAGGACAGAGTTGGTTGGGGGAAGCTGGTTGGTGGCCTATGCTCCATTGGGGGTAACAGGCGTAAGTAAGTAAGTAAGTAAGAAAGTAAGTAATCAACTATTTTTCTGATATTGCTTAGCAGGAATAATCATCCGTGTTGAGGAGTGTCACTGTGAGATTTATTCGTTAACCCCATCACCAAATAATCTTCCCGTCTCTGTATTCGGTCTACGAAATCTACTTTTCCTTGTTAACCTCGTCTACGTCTCATGTCCGTAACCTTGCACTGGTTTTAACTTCCTACCAAGAAAACCTATTATAAGCAGATCTGGACAATTATACAGAAATAGAGCTCATTCATAACTATTTGTGCTATAGAGTTAGAAATAAAAAGAATAAATAAAATAAGATAAAAACATAAGATCACTGAGCCTCGTTATTATATTCTGTAAATCAAAATTTTTGCTAACAATTCGGTTATACTGAATTTCCTTCATACACAAGATTAAATGTCCATTCTTTATCTTACTGCTGAAATGTCTTCAGTGCCCACAAAAATGCGTGTATACTGTACCAGCCCAGAAGGGTCGTCTAGGAAGTAAGAACGAGGAGTAGAGCTGGGATAACTTCAAATCATCACTTAGCATTAGCCAAGATGGAACTGAAACTAAAGAAGCATTGGACGACTGGATGAGCGGTAAAGCAAAAGTTTAATACGGCTTTTTTTCGGGATACTGGCGAACTCAAAGAATACTATTTAGCTCTCAGCAATAGGTTCCAAGCCTTTCACAATCTACTCTGTAGAGTCAACTACTATATAAAACAATTGGAAATGGATCAAGGAAGCATTGACATCCACATATCGCAAGGTTCTAGGACACAAGGAGCACCATCATAAGGAATCGACCACTGATAGTACTCTGGATAAGGTGCACGAAAGGAGGAACAAGGCAGCGATCAACATCAGCCTGACAAGAGCAGAGAAAGCCAAAGCACAAGCTGAATACATGGAAGCAAACAAGCAGAGCACTGAAGTTGATGGACGCAATGATGGTGGAAAAGGTTCAAACAGAAGGAAACATGAGACAATTATATGCACAAAAGAGAAGCTCGCTGGAATGAACAGTAGGAAAGAGTGATCAATCAACAGCAAAGAAGGTAAAACAACCTCCGACATTCAAGAACAGAGCAACAAGTGGGTAGAGCTCTTGAATCGACCGGCTCCACTGAATCGAACCAACATCGAAGCAGCCACACACGGACCTCTCAATCAATGTTGACCCACCAACAATTGGAGAGATCAGGATGGTCATCAGACAAATCAAGAGTGGCAAGGCATATGCAGCAGTAAATTCAAAGATACTCCACACACACTCTCAAAAAGATTTGAGTTGAAGAGCATGTACCGGCAGACTG